ACGCTCGCCGAACCTGCGATCACTGTGATTCGCGCTCGTCAGCGAAGGGATCGACCGAATCCGTTCTTAAAGACCGAAGACGTTTTCGTTTTAGTTGGGACGTAATCCTTCGGGCATTCTTTAGTTTTGACGCGTTTAGTTTCGACAACTATTAGGTGCGATCGTTTCTTTCTTTTGAGAAGAATATGATGTCAATAGCTTTTTTCTTCAAGAAAAATTTTAGAAGAATTTATTTCTGAAGAGAATTTTATTTAAAAAATAAACAAACTATAGGAGGTAAGATTTTACTTTTTGTTAAGAGTTACAGAGCAATTTCTAAAACTAACAGAAATGATATTTACTTGACAGCGTTTACTGACCTTTCATACAAAGGGTGTAATTTTGTTTCCGCATAGATTCTGATATCACATTTTATTAGTTTTTTATAATATCTATAGAGTTAGACGTCGAGTTCGAGCGAGTTCGATGTTCTCGACTATCAGCTCGCTCGTACGAGCGAAGGGATACAAACAATGCCTCGGATGTTATTAAGATACGTCGTTGGCCGCGATGCGTGATCTAGCCGCTAGTGAATCGGTTAACATTCAGATTTAGAAGGTTTCGTCGCGTGGCCGGTGATCTCATAAGCTGCGCCAGCTTGGTGGAAGTTTATCTCATTATGTCTTATCCAATGTTTTCGACGAACGTGAAGCTTAGCGACACTGAGAGAGCTTAAATCGCACGCGAGCTTACGAGCACGGGCTTTGCATGCGTTGAAGCAACATAAATCGCTCAACGAAAGTTGAGATATAATATGTGTAATCGACGTTTGTGTAATCATCGTCAATAAAAATCTTTTCAAAACACACTGACATTCGTTCTGAAGTTCGACCACTTGATTATCTATTAGTAACTAATAGATTTTACGTGCCTTGTAAGAAAAATAATTTTAAAAAACACCACAATTTATTTTTTTTATAATTTGTTTTTTTTCTAAATTATACAATTTTCTTATCAAGTATTCTAATTAATAATCTGACGTAATGAGAAACTCAGATGACTGGGATAAACTGGAATAACTCGTTAGCGGAAAAGAAATGAAAATGACACGATTAGGACGGGAGGGAGCGGTCCGAAAGGAGAGAGAGAGAGAGAGAGAGAGAAAGAGAGAGAGGAAGAGAGAAGGAGACAGGGGGGAGGGAGAACGGGTGTCGCAGATAAAGACTTCGAAAGAGCTGCTTATCTGTAAAGACCGACATCCGCCGGATCAGCCTCAGATACTGAAACCACCCACACTTTCCTTCTTCTGCGTGCTTAGGCTAAGTTCCCGAGGACGGACGGAAGCAGCCGGGTCTTTCAGAGATCACGAATTCCACATCACACACGTGCGACCCAATTATATGTTTCTTTTAACGCACGAATTCGCAGATTTGAAATTTCACACTTGGATCGGACCTTATCGACGAGTGTAAATCCGCGAGAAGAAAAAATAACGTTTGGACGATTTGAACGTGGCTTCGCAGCCTGATTCGATTTCGAAAGATTAAGCTTGGAGTCGTCTTGGATTAGCACTTGTTACCAGTAAGACGAAGAAGAAACCTTAGGACGGGCGTATACGGATAGTTTTTTTTATCTATGTAACGTTTTACATATTTTCGAAAAATTACACTTAAGAAAATTTACAATATTTTTATAAAGAGAGATTAAATTGAAAAAGAGAGAAAGAGAGTACAAGCGTTTGACAATATTTTCTCTTACTGTCTCGACTTCATTTTACTTCGTCGTGAAATTAAATTCATTTTACTTCTCCCTTCGTCATTCCGCTTAATCGCATTCGAGCATACCGATATGGCAACGGAAACGTCACTGTCGATGAATCTAAATGGCGCGTACTTTTCCCGCCAGTGATTTAGAAAGATCCTCCTCGGTAATCTCGGGACGCGCCGGTAATCATTTCGCCTCGTGCAGAGAAAAACGAAGAGGAGGGTTCGCGAAGACGCGAAAAGAAATATTCGCGGCGGAGATTCTTTGGCCACGTTCTCCCCTTCGAATCGCACTCGGCTCGCGCCGAACGTGGCTATTATCGCGACGGAGGTGCGGAGCGGGCGATAGCGGGGGTGTCGAAAAATATGTTCCAACTTTTTATCTTGTATCTGCACCGCCGCCTCGCTGCAGAACTGAGCAGTTCGTTAATTTGCGAAACTGTCTGCCATGTAAGCTCGGAAAACTCGCAAACGCGCGTTGAACAGCAAACTATTGTTTTTTTAAATATTTATGTTTTGTAATGTTGTTTTGTTACTATATTTGTAAAAAAAATATATTTACGACGCGAAAGTATTTCGATTACGACGCGCAAGTCTCTTGGATGTGAATCTCTGGATAAAATACAAATCTAGTGCTTGTTTGCCGAGAAATAAAAAATATTGCTAATCAGTTTATTTAAGTTTCTTAATTTTTTTTAACATTAAATTGCACGCGTGCGCAAGTACGGACATTCACACGAAGGTTGTGCGAATCCGAATCAAAGTTAAATGTTAGTGTTATTGCGACAAAACATTTACAACAATACGAGAAATCGCTGAGGTAAAACGCAAGATGAGATCGACGTAAATGAAAAACATCGAGAGAAACTGGTTTCTTCAAGGGTTGCCCCTTGGATGAATCTTATCTTTCGACGAGAGCTGTCAAAGACGAGGCGGCATGACGCTTCCGTCGTGCGGGAAGATAACCGGAAGCCCGATAGAACCTGCACCAGAAATGAGAAATGTCTTTGCGGTTGCAGAGATTAAAGATTTCACGGATGAGTGGTTGCCACCTCTTCTCTCGTATATACGTTTCTTCTTGCGGCAAGCTCGCGCGCCTGACGTGTTTATTTTATCACGATATCTATAAACGCGTTTTTACCAATAATATGAAAAAAAAAAAAAAAACGTTTTTGTTTTTTACAGAATTTGTTGTTGCAAAAATTATATTCGAAGAAGAACACGGAAATAAAAAATGACTGAAATCATCTCTTTGCGTCGCATTATTAAAAAAAAAAAACCGATTAGAAGATTGACGGCGCAAATGAGCGAATGTGTGGGATCGGAACACGACACGCGCCCGACACACAAGTCGACGAGAGGACGCGTCGGTAATAAACAGAGCGCGTAATACGATGTGTCCCCGCGATTAAATCCTGCGGCGTAAAAGCCCACCTTAAACCAGCTGATCCCGGTACAAAGACGACGCAAGGACAGGGCGCCTTAATGAAAACTATACGTCCCTAGATTAAGGTGGACGTTGGTCAGACTTGGGACCCGCGGCAGATACGACCTGTCTTATGCAACATAGGGGGCGGGTTCTATGATGCTCGGCGTATTAGATGGAACTTTCGGCCATTAATACCTAATATCGTGCCGTCGGCAGTAAATCCTTTGTTGGTCATCTCTGACGGGGGGACTTAGTGCTGCCTTGCATCAAGAGAGACGTTCGACCCTATCTGTCGATCCCGGGACGTACAATCCGATATTGCATTTTGATTAATTCATTACATTCTAACAAAATGCACTTTGCAAAACAAAATGTTATTTCTGACGTTACACCGCGCTTCTTCTTCGCTTTCTGTTAAAACGTTTACTTGTTCGCGGAAATCCGCACGTTTTAACTCGATAATTTTTTACATTCACGGGGTACACGTTTTCTTAAAACAAAACGGTAAATAAACTTGGATTCGCGCATTTTTTTTTTGCGCTTTTTGATTCCCTTTTTGCATTCTCTCGGCAGCAAAGGTTCTGGAGGGTGCTCTGCTTCGCGATTCTTGTTTTCCTTCTTTCGTTTCCTTCCAAAACGGGACCGTTTGTGCGTGACGAAGAGTTATGTATTGCAAATAAAACCTGGTTTCGAGGGTGTAACGAATACGTAACGGTGAGACAAGTTCACGCGTCGCGAAAAAAAAAACACCGAAGCAACACGCTCTCTCTGGGAACGAGAATATTTATTATCATAATCGAGAATTCGACAACGCGATTTCTTTAACAGATATAAGTGCAGAGCTTGGAACTGTGGCAGAAGTTGTCTCTCTTTACCTTTTCGCGAGGAGAGTAAAGTCTCACAGTCTTTCTTTCATTATCTCTTTCTCTCTCTCTCTCTCTCTCTCTCTCTTTCTCTCTCTTCCATCTCGCACTCCATTTCCTCGATTTCGCAGAAGTCTGGGATTATGATCTGGAGTGGGATAGACTCCCGGACTTAAGTCAGAGTTACACAAGGATCGCAGCTATTGTGCCATCGCGCAGGTCCTATTGTCTCGGGATAGACGAGTGGATCTGCATATGCTTAGCGCCGGAGTTAAACTTCTCTCTTTCCCTCCTCTCCCCTTTCTCTCTCCGCGCCGTCTTTCTCTCTCTCTCTCTCTCTCTCTTTCTTCTTCCCGACCCGATCTTCAGCGCGCTGCGCAACGCGAATCATCCTGCGACCCTCGAATTTGGATGTCGGAACGCTGCCGAAGACTATACCTATTGTCGGTCGGATGTACAAGAATGGTGCTTCACAGTCGAAGCCGCGGAGACGGTTTAAGTACTCGCACACCAAAGTACTCCCGCGCGAGAGAGCCACCTTCGATTCTCAAATCAAATTAAGATTCGTTAATTAGACGGGCTTTATGCCCTCTTTATGCCGTCTTTTGGAGAATGAACAGCGAGAAAAATATGCGCGTAGAGGATAATGAAGAAAAAAAAAACTGAAACGATAACGAAAACAGTTCATTGTTTCGTTCAATTGTAGTCACCTTGAGCGAAAAATCCACCGAGTGATTATGTAAAACTCTCACTTGTTGCTTGTTTACGTAAAATTATAATCCGGAGACAATTATAGAATAAGAATTTTTCTTCACATTACATGTAGTTAACGTCACGTCATAAAGTGACGCAATTGTTTGCTAATTTCGTGCTTGTAGTAAATTCGTCACTCCATTGTTGCTCATAATAAGAGGATTGCTCCGAGCGCGTTGGCTCCTCACGTAAACTCTCCTTTGTCTGTTGCAGCGAAAAATCTGCCGGTGCATTGTGTGGTGGAGACGATTCACAATATCGTGGAAAGTCATGTGAGCCACAGCCGCGAAAAATGGCGAAGTCCCCAAGTGGAAACGGACTCTTACGTTATCATTCCGGTAGCTATGCCTTTTCAGGTGAGAGGGGGATTGTATATTCTCTTTTAGAAAATTATTATTAGCTCTACTGACACATCGCACATTTGTTCCGAGAAGAGAATTGTAAAAAGTTTCTTTTACACGAAAGATCAATATTTTCGAGCGATTATCGTCACGTTTTCTTTTCTTCGGATAAAAACTGTACCGTTTTTTTTTTTTTTTTTTATCTAATTTACTTGCGTCGAGAAAAATGTTGTGTCAGAAACATATCTCTCGCAATTAAAAAATATCGATTTGTGTCAACAGGATTTGGTAGGCGAAGCGCTCGTTCGCTTGGGATATTCGAGCGATCTGATACCGAGCGCCAGAGGAAGCATCGTTATACGGAACTGGAAGCCCTTGCCGATGGAAAAGGTCGCTGACGGACCGCTGCTGACGGTGGGTGACATTCTGGCCGAATTGACGTCGGTGGCAACCCTGAAAATTCAGGTGTACAGATCCAGACCGCCACCTCCCAGTCCGGCCGCGGAAGTCAGAAATAAATTGCTGAGGTTGCTGCTGTTGCACAGCCACACGCTTCTCGTCTCCGCCGGATGTCCGTTGGACGAGGTACGACACGTCTTGCACTTTCTCGACTTGCGTATGGTTATATCTCATTTATTTTTTTTTTATATAAAAACATAATTGCAACAGCTGAGAAGATGTAAACAAAACTGCATGTATCTTGCCGAAAAAAAAAAAAAACAAATCCTTTCAAGTACAAATGTTTGACGAATTGAAACACTTTTCGTACAGAACGGAATCTGAAAATAATGTTGCAATTTGTTTTTTTAAAGATTAATATCGCGTTTCTTCTACATCTCATTGTTATCTGAAGCGAGATGGCGGCCCGCAAGGAGAAAAATAAATATATGAAAGCTGTGTGTAAAGTCGCGTTTATTTGGAGAAGTACAAGGTTAAATAACGCAGAATTTAAGAGCCATTCAAGGTGGGATCGGTGGGAGGGGAGAGGGGAATATTCGTAGTAAGACGACCGCTTAAAAATGTATAAAATGTAAATCTAGCCGGAGAGTGTTTGTCGTCGGGGCACTTAATCTCATTAAGAAGTCCTCTGACTCCCGGTACCCTTGTACCTTCCGCAAGAACGGCAAGTGGTAATCTTCGGCAGATTCTTGCTCGCAGCTCGCTGATCCTCACCTTGAATAAATGCTTTCTTGGTTTCGAATCACCGCTCGGAAAGTCACCGCGCTTCCGGTGAGCTTTCGTTCCCGAATCAAAAAGCGCGAGTGAATGCAGATTTCCTTAAATCTGAGAGGTTCTCTCTGGTCTCCCGCGAAATTTTCTGTAAAAATATATGTGCGCGCGCGCGCGCGCGTTCATTGTTTGTATTAACTTTGCAATACTAGCTATAATTCCGAATTGTTAAGATTTATAACGTTGATCCCCCTCGATCAAGTTGCGCTGCTTTCGCTACCTCTATTTTGTTACTTTAATTCCTTTTTTGAAAACCAAAGAGAAGAATATCAACCTCCGTGTGTGTGTGTGTACGTGCGCGCGCGCGCGTGAAATTGTTTTAATCTACACAGGATCTTGATAAAGAATATGATTATTATATTTTTCTCATTATAAAGAGATTTTTTTTATCACAAATGTCAACATTTCACTGACGCAGCGACTTGAAAAAAAAAAAAAAAAAAAAAATTATTAACGTTACGCGGATTAATTTTTTTCAAATCTCCAGCTACGACGAGACGAGGCGAGTATTTTTCGTGGGGTTTATCCTCTGGCCGCGATATTCTCCGATTGCGTTCCCCGCGAGATTGAAATAGATGCGCGATTTTTCGAAGCCGAGCTTGCTCAAGCGCAGGCGTGCCCTTCCGACAGCGGAGGATCTCATGGCGTGTGATAGGATTACCCTTTACTCAACCAAATTCGCAGCCTTCATCAAAAGCCCCCTCGATATCGGGGCATCACCCGGGCGGAGGGAGAGAGGCAGAGGTACATCCCCGCCGCCTCCTCCAGACCGGTATTATCTAAGTGCACTCTCTTTGAAGATCCCGCCCATCCCCGAACTTTAATGCCGCTCACAGTGGTCTATGATTACCAATTTTCCCTGGCAAACGTTTCCTGCTTGAGTTTCGTAGCCCGACGGCTAATGGCGAACCGCGCCGTGATGGAGAACCGACGTCTCTCGCGTAGATTTGGCTTAATCTGACGATGATGTACGAAGACGTGCCGCCACGCCGAGCGAGATCTCCCTCTCTCTTCACGTTTCTCCCCATCGTACGTGGCTCGTCACGATGTTGCTCTTCTGCGCGATCTCTTTCCAGAGATAAAAAATCCTTATTTTACCGTTTCTGCACTTATAAATTTTTTTTTTTTTCACACTTCGAAGCTCGCAAGAACAATTTTATTCTCCGTTGCTCGAAAGCTTTTTTGCACAATTAAATTTTTTTAAGAAATGAATTTATATGCGGTGTATGTTTATCGGCGAACAATGTGTATCAAATTTGAAGTAAACTTAATAAAAAATTGAATCATAAATAGGCGTTGTCATTAAGATGACGAAGCTAAATAGAGAAGTTCTTCTACTTTTGCTAATTATCTTCGTTAATTTTATTTGCTTATCTCTGCATGCAACCTATCCTCGCAGCGAGATTGGAACCGGTTGTGTCTGGTATTATTTGTGTGTGCGATTTGTGTGACGTTTCAGTACATCTCTTTTCGGAGATGATGTATATCGAAATTAGAAATAAACACACGTGCACAAGCGGGAGAGCGCCAAGGTACACATGAATTTTCGAAAAGCACGACGGGGCTTGTAATTCTTTCGGGATAACGGAAAGTTACGCGAAACCGGTAATAAATACGTTTCAAAAACACGGGGAGGGACTCGGGTGCGAAATTCGCATTAATTCGGAATCGGCAAATATAAATCGTCCGCGCAGTTTTTAGACGATAAAAAACAGCGGAATCTGTTTTGGATCCTATTCAGCTTGTGAAATGTAGAACAGTGATGTAACAGACGTCACCTGATATATCAGGATTAGGGCTTAATCTTATTTATTGCGGCGCAGCGCCATTTTGTGATTTATCTACTGCATAGTTTTGCCAATTTTTTTTTCCACATATATCTCAAAATTCGAGTTAGGTTTTTTTTTTTTTTAACATAAATATTTTGACGTGATTTCGCATAAGTGTTGCAAAGTAACGAAAAAAAAAAGTGGAATTTATTTTAACAACAATTTTTTCTCGACTGCGGGATATATTTTTTATCTTCGATAAAACCACTTATATAATATTAATATACTTACATAATAATATATAATTTCGACGTGTGTAGCTTTAAAGAGACACACGGATGAGGTCGCAACTGCTAAAAAAAATTGATGCTAACGCTGCGAGCGTTGCGCGCAATTAAAAAAAAAAAAAAAAAAATACTATTACGTAAACGGCAAATAAAAACGAACAAAAGAGAAAAACGAAAGACGCACAGGTAGCAACAGCTCCCGATACGTGCGTGTTTCGCAGGCGCTCATGACAACCTCGCGAATTGTTTGATAAGGGATCCCGTGATCGCGATTGATTTACCACTGTTCTATGGATCAGCCGATTGCCGTGCGCAATCATTCTCGAATAATAAATACGTGTAAATCAGGCGCGAATCGCGAGAACGCAATGTCTTCAGATAAGCCGGTCGTCCCCCCTTTCGACGGCATACCCGTTGTTTGTCAAACGATTTCTGAAATCCTCGAGAGCGCCTGTCAAGATCTCGCGCCTCGCCTGACTACCTGGAGTGATTAAGTGCGGTGTCGTAAAACTGTAACGAATGAGAATTCGAGAAGGTAACTTGCGCGCGCGCGCGCGCGCGCACCGGATAATTGTCGTCGTCTTGCTGCGAAGGTGTCGTTGGATATACGCGACGGATTACCGTGTTATTAAGGTGGCGTCGAGCGCCTGATCTTCTCGACACGGAGATATGTATTTGTTCGTATAAATCATCGACCGCGTGATAAGACCGTGTCTGTGTACCGCTTCCTGAGGCGTGAAAAATTTTTCCACAATCTGTCATCTCGCTTGTCGTAATGACGACAACGCTTATGACGACATCTCGCAACGTCTCGCGTTAACCAATTAACGAAGTTAATCGTTGAAGAAACTTGAGTTCTCCACGCAATAAATAAATGTTTCGGGAACTTCTCGTTTTGGCACACAACTTTCTCGTCTTATCTTGAGACACATAATAACGAAAGATAATACGAAGATGTTCGTTGTTCTTCTTGACTACCAATGAGTTATTGAGTCTTTTAATTACTTTGTAATTAAAAATAACTGAAAAAAAAACGTCTCGATTATTCTCTGGTTTGAAAAGGAATATATTGCTTTTTGCTCGCAGATGACCCTGTTGTCCCTCTGCAGAGGCGGCAACGATCTGTCAGAGGAGACAAAGCGGAACTTCGAGACGTGGTTGCAGCAGCAGCAGATTGGACTCGGTATGAATCCGATCGCCCCGACTTCCAACCATCACACGCAGAGTCCGCAACCGGACAGCGGGGGCGCGATCGCGCCCGGTGGCGGCCCGATCGGTCCGCCGCATCCGGCGCTTCTCCAATATTCGCACAAGACCAGGATGAGGACCAGCTTCGATTCGGAACTCGAACTGCCGCGTTTGCAACGCTGGTTCGCCGAGAATCAGCACCCGTCGCGCGAACAGATACAGCACTACGTCGCGGAATTGAACTCTCTGGAGTCGCGCCGGGGCAGAAAACCGCTTGACGCGAACAACGTCGTGTACTGGTTCAAGAACGCGCGAGCGGCGCAAAAACGCGCGAGCATGAACGGCTGCAGCCCGCCCGGACTCAGTCCGAGAGGCGCCAGCATCGTCAGCGAGGATTGCACGGACGAGGAGGAGGACACCAGGCAGCAGGTAAAGTGACGGTTTTAAAGTCTCAAAATTTTTAACGGAACGATCGTCGCCGAATGAGAGATCGTCGTCTGAAAGAACATTCAAACACGAACTCCGAGACGTGAAGCGACATTGTTACATTTCTACAAAACCTCACATCTTACGTGTTAAGTCTTCGATTGTTGCTTTCAGTCAACCTCGGGGTCACCGTGCCCGCCGAACAGTCCACCTGTCGGTCCCCTGTCTCTGACCACCAGACCCGAGGATCAGCAGCAGCCGCAGCAGCCGCCGACGTCGACGCCCTCCTCGGTGAAGCAAGAGGACGCGAGAGTGTCCTCCGGTTCCGAGGACGACGAGACGCGGCACACGGGCCCCATCCCGCCGGGATTCTCCCTGGTGCCCAGCCCGATGTTCGGCCACGGTATAATGTACATGTCGCATTACCTGCCGCCGCGCGGACCAACCGGCTGTCCGACGAGCATGTTGGCCGACGAGAGAAGGAAGAGAAACCGGACGTTTATCGATCCCGTGACGGAAGTGCCGAGACTGGAGTATTGGTTCAAGCGTAGCACTCATCCGAGCCACGCGGTACGTATACAAATCGCAACGCGTCGTTATCGCGCGCTAATTTGTCTCTCCTTCCGGGAATTAACGAGATTCTCGGATTAACAGCGTGTTTGTCAGATTTTTTGCTTGCAGCAAATTTTTTTTATGATTCTTCGCAAGATACGTGTACAGTTTTGTTATCACTGATCACGCCAGAAATTTTGCGCTCTAATTATCTCGCATCAGAATATTCGGTGAGAAAATTTTATTTTGTGATCGATTTCTACAGCTCATTCTCTCGTACACGGAGGAGCTGAACAAGATGCCGTATCGTCAGAAATTTCCGCGTCTGGAGCCGAAGAACGTGCAATTCTGGTTCAAGAACCGACGGGCCAAGAACAAGCGACTGAAGATGGCTTTGTTCGAGGGCGAGTCGCCGCAACCGCATCCATATCACGCGGACTAGTTAATTTCCGAGTAAAATAACGTTAACTAGGACAAAAAAAAAAAAAAAAAAGTACGAAAATCAAACGTGGGAGACGTGTGCGCGCAAAAATAAAGAAAAAAAAAAAATTCGTTAATCGACCTGTTACTCTTTACTATCGTTGACACGCAGCGGCTTCAACAATTACCGGCCGCATATTCATTGTAATTATCACGTAAACAATTAACATAATTATTATGGACTTCCATGAATGTAAATACGAGATGATGTCGAATAAAAAATATACGTCACAATAAAAACAGCTGTTGTTGTTATTTTTCCTCTCCACATCGCAAACCAAGAAGACTGTAAACTATTTATTGTGGTTTATTATAACAATAAAACTACACAAATAAATATTGATTTACAAACCTAACGTTCAGAGTCCGTTTTTTAACACACAACAAACCATTCTCTTATTACCTAATTATTTAACTTTATACGTTCGTTATTGCTTTAATTACAACCAACTTGTCAAACGTATTATTTTTTTTTATTATCAAATTAGTTCTCGCAGCAGTCGCTTTAGGAAAAAAAAAACAATATTGTGTGTTTGCACTCGTGTCTGGCAAGAAGTAAATTCTCAACAAATCGCCAAGTAGAATTTCGTGAGTTTCCTAGAGTCTATACGACGCGTATAGTACGTCTGTGTTCGCACGCGTGTGTATAAAAGCGCGCACGACGACGTCTATACTGTCTCTAAGTCTGCCGATGTACAAAGCAACGCATACTCTCCCGACCGAAATCTCGTAGCTAAGATAAGACAGCTGTCATCGAGTCAACCCTAACTCAAACGTCAACAATAGTCAATGAATTCTCTCCTCTAAAAGCGACGCCACGTATCTACTCGCGTCTGTGCATCACTCAACTAGAGCTTCAGAACATTAAGATCGCAGACGCGACGTAATACGACGAGACCCGACAGACTGAATAGAAATCGAAACGTATAAATTCTTAAAACGCGCAATATATGATAAAAAAACCTAATCGATCCGTAGAATATTAATCACAATATTTGTATCAGACAATATTTTGCATGAGAGATGCGCGTCTCTCTCGCGCGTAAGTTTGATAAAAGATAAAATAAAGTTTTCGCGCGCGTCGCGACATTTACACTTTCTCTTCGTTGATTCTGCTCGGTTTAATAAACGTGTTATCATGTGGTACGTACACTTATGTACGCGAGAACGCGCGTTCCGCTTGAATGTAGAATCGCGAAACAGAAAGCAAAAGAGAGACGATCGGATCCTTGTAATAGCTTCGTCGCGGATTTTCGAGACGAGTCGACTCGAGAAATAGAAGACTCTCGCGTTTAAGCACGTAGCAACGTGCAAAGATGATGTCGCAGGAATATCGTTGTCATCTACGACACGCGCGCGCGCGCGCATCAGCGAGTGCACACACAGGTACCCCCCCGTCGTTTCTGGCGGGCTCACCGGGGTCGTGTCCCGGATTTAATGAGGATAGGCGGATTTGTCCAATTAAAACGTCTTACAAAGATCCATCCGGGTCTCGGCGCTCATTCGCAAAACATCGAATCTAGACTTTGCCGCAGCCAGCCACTTCTTATCCCCGCGCTATACACAGGTTGTATATACATATACAACCCCCCTGCCTACCCGTTATCCCTCTCTCGTTATCGTTATCGGGCTCCGCCTTCCGAATCGAGCGGGGAATCAGCTCGGGGAGCAACAACGAGACAGACAAGGATTTATGGAAAGTTATTTCCAACTGCCGCCGGAATCCGCGAGAATCGTGCGGATTCCACGGCGTCATCGAATCGCGCAACCTGAAGCAAGCGGAACTCGAATAAATTCGAGTTTACAGCAGGAAAAGTGCGTTTTAAAACTGACGCGTCGCGGATTGATTGACATGTTGAAATTACAAACAAATGTTATCTTAATTTTTAACGTCATTTTAAACATCATCAAGATGTAAGACAAACGTCGCAGTCAAAGATATATTCTTGGTACGTCGTCGTTTCTGAAAATTTGTTTGAGTCACAAAATGACTCGAGGATAAATTTAGAAATATAAATGTAATAAATTTCTTCATTACTTTTACGATTTTCTCGTAAATTTGACGCGTGTAAAAGCTACGAAACTAAATAACGATTTGTTGTTATTATTGTTCCGTGCAATTTTCTTTTCAACGTTGAGAAAAGATTTTGAATCCGAAGGAAGCGAGAAAAGAGCAGAGATTGGACGATCGGATAAGAAAATTGCTGCTAGGCTGAAGAGTGTGAAGAATCTCAAGAAGGAACAGTGTGATAGCGGCGCGAGAGAAGGAGGAGCAACGTCTTATGAAAATCTGAGAGTCAGCAGCCCGAAGGATCATCCCTCTATCTGATCTTAATTTGTCAGGCCGCGCGCGCGCAGACAATTTAGATATCACACCATCGTCCTCACTAAATCGTTTATGAAAAATGGCCAGTCTGGCTGAAATTGGCTTCTCGCTGTCATCGACATGTATAATAAAATATTCGCGATAAAGATCCGTACAATCTTTTTTTTTTATATACTTAAGTTCTCAAAGATAAAAATAATCTTATGTTTAATTATGTTTTAATTAATTACGTGAGTATTTATATCTTAAATAATTGCGTCAAAAGACTCTACGTTCGCTTCAACAATTTTCTTACAAGCGCGTCTAAAATCTTTTCGTTAGAGATAAAAACTTTGTTTTGGAAATTTTTGAAAAAGAAACGCTCCGGAATAATAACGCGCGAACAATCATTTTATTATTGAGCAAACAAGGAAATAAATCTGATTTGCTGGCTGGTAACTCGCGATACCAAAGTAGTATATTAGATTCGACAAATTGCGAAAACGATATGGCAGGAGAGAATTCGGGGATCACCGTGCCGTGCAACACACGTCGGTAGACATTGGCGCCCCGTGCATTCCCGCGCGCGAAAGTATCCGCGCGAGACGTGGGTACACGTCGCTCTAAAGGAGCATTGTGTGTGCTTTGGCATTCAGAGGACGTTCTTATCTGCCTATCCGGAGAGCTGTCAGCAAAGTTCCTGAATAATAACGGAGAGCTTGTGTAAGAGAAAGACAGAAAGAGATAGAGAGAGAAAGAGATAGAGACATAGCTAGATAGATAGATGGAGAAAGAGGGAGAGAGGGAGGAAGTTATAGGTGGAAAGGAGAGAAAGAGAGAAACGACGGAGACGAAGAGAGGCGGAGGCTGCCGCGCTTCTGCTATCAGCCGCAGAGCTAGGATATGCCTAACTATTCTGTTTCCATGCGGCTGCCGGACGTTTCGTCGTAGATAATGTTGGCCAGGATAGTTAGATTGTGTGTTGGATGCGATTGATAAGAACCGAAAATGCCCTCCCGCCGTTGAATCGGATTGTAACGGAATGTGCGTAGCGAGAGCAGCCCGACCGCGCACGGGAGAAAACGTCGTTTCCTATTAATTATTCATTCATAGCCGCGACAGGCACATATAGATCTAATATATGTGCTTCCATAAAATCGTCGCTAAAAATGTCAATGCGCTGGAAATGTCAATGAGATATATTGACATATTCTTCGAACATTTGTTTGTTGCGAATTCGTTCGTTTTTTTTCTCCCCCCTCCCAAATTTCCATATCCTTCACATTGCAAGAAATTTGACACATTTCTGAAAAGATTGGTAACTTTTCTTTTCGATACAGTCAGAAAAGAAAGAACAACAGTGACGTAGTCGTGAGGGAGAAAACAGAGAACAGAGTTTGGATGAAGTCACGAGATATCGGAGGGGTTTGAGAATTCGAGAGCTCGCAAATTAGCCGCAGGATTGGCCTTATAATCCTTGAGGGATGCTTGGCGACGTGGTTTCCATCTTCTTGTTCTTCTCTCGCTCTCATTTCTCTCGTTCTTTCTCTTTCTCTTTTACCCTCTCCACCATTTTCTCTTTCTTTTACTTCGCGAGGGCGGCTGATGAGGTCGTATAAACGAACTTCAGTCTCCTCGTCTTATTCTTTAATCCTACCCTCTCCTACTCGCGCGGCTATACTAAGAATTACGAGTATCGTAGAGAAGAAGACCGAGAAAGACGGCTGAGAAGACCAGCGATTGAAAGTAATGAGCCGTGGAGGGAAAATCGCCAAGGGGTAGGTAGGTAGGTAGGTAAGGCCGTATTCTCCGCTGTGAGTAATCCGGGGATAATTAATCCCGTTAATTTATCGGCACCCATCGTAACGAACCACGTGTGAAGAAAGAATAAACGCGGAATCTTTCTTTGCTTCTGCGAGAAATAAAGCGCACGTTGTTTATGTAATTCTCTAGCCGCAATTACTTCGTTAATTGGCAATCTACTAACATACGTGATAATTTAAATATACGTTGCAATTTATGTGTGCGAAATAATTTTTATAAGTAAAAATTTCAAAATTACTTTTTATCTCTAATTTTTTTTTGATACTTTATGTTACAACTTTTTGAACTTTCCGTGAAGAGTTATATTTATATCTCTAAAAATTTGTGAAGGAAAAAATCGCGCTAATGATAGAGCTAGTAAAAACGCAATTACGTTTAGCCCGAGAGAACAGAAATCGTGATTCGCTGTACGCCTGTGATTCCGGACGGAGTCACAGCGACGATGTCTTAATTGATCTACAGCCGAATGTTACACGACTGGACGGGGGAAGAGGCATTTAAGCCTCGGAGAGTGGACGCTTAGTCGGTCATTGGCCAAGATCTATCGCGGGAGTACAGTCCAAGAAGTGGAGATCATACCACTTAGCCCGCTTGGCGCAGGAGCTCCTTTCGCGACCGTAAATAAAAGAAATCCTTGTAATGGCCTTTGGCGAAGATCCTCCTACCATCCTCGCTCGTCCCACCCCTGGCGATCCTCACCCCGGTTATTAAGCCCCGGAGGCAACCCATCCCGACGGTATCAGAAGCTCGTAGGCTCGAACGGTCGGTCCGGCCGGTGGCAGTTAATTCCTTAACCCTTATAGACTTCGAGAAAATTTAGGGACCCCCGATGGTTGTACGTAGAAGTAGGGAGTAGGGATGCGTATATAAACCGGCGTAACGCG